AGGCTCAGTGTGAGCGGCCATCTGCTGAGGCCCACTGGGGTTCAAGGAGACAGAAGCAGACATAGAAAAAGAAGCATAGATACAAAAGGCAACAACGATCCAGGAATGGAAGTAGGAAGAAAAACTCCCTTTTTTATATTAAATATTTTAAATTAATATATATATATATATATATTAATTATATTTAATTTGTTAAATAAATATTGAGTTTTGAGCAAAATATTTATTTAACAAATTAGATATTTAGTTTTGGAAATAAATATTTAGCTTGCTGGCAATTTATAATGGGTAATGGACAATTTTTAGCTGACAATCTAAATATTTAGTTTGGAAATTAGATTTATTATAAATGTATGAGTGACATAGTGAAAAAATGACTTGGAAAAAAATAACTTATTGTTCTCTTAAAACTAAAGAACCTTAAATATCGCTCCTAATTTCGAACTGCCTAACTTTACAAACAACGCCCCATAAATGTAGTCTTAAAGCTGCGAGTCCTGGCGGTGAGTTTGTGGTTCCACCAAACACATGTCCATTGTGAAAATGTCTACAGGCTCCTTTAAAGTGACTAATTAATAGAAATACAGTAAAAATAATAACTTGCTAGATGTTTAATATCTGTCCTGGACTAACCTGGAGGTGCTGATCTGGTTGGTTCTGGTCCAGATTAAAATGATTCTGGTTCTGTTTGGAGCAAAATGCCGTTACTGCTCATCTGGACCAAAGGAACCTCCTGAAAACCCGTCTGTTAAATGATTTTCTACCTTAAGGCTTTTATTTTGGAGCAGTCTGTTCAGATTAAACCGGTGCTGTAGAATAGGAACACATGTTCTGTATCTTGTTGACTTTTGGACCCAGAGACAAAAAACTGTTCTGCTCGCCTTATGTTGAGCCACGTTCCAGTCCTCTGTGCTGAAACAGAAACAGAGTCAAATAGGATTGACTGTTCTAATCATGTGCTTTAACACTCAGCGGTGCCCTAACTTAGACTGACTTAGATTTTATTTTGTCTTTTTGTACACACAAGTTTAAACAAAAAGAAATTTCTTTAAGAACAGCTCTCTAGACTATTTCATTTTTTTTTAAAGTGCAGCTTTGATAAGCAGCAGTGATAAAAACATTGTGATGAAACTGCCGTTATAGCCAGGGGTGGACTTAGGAAATATAGGGCCCTAGGCAAAGACAGGCAGGGGCCCCTCTGAATGAAGAAGACGACACATAAAACAGCCCCATTCTCCAGATAGAGAAATGATAAT